ATTTAAAGGAAGAGCTATGAATGAAATTATCACATAATTCTTCTCTGTTCTAACAACTTTTCGTCTACATTTACAAGTACAAGAGTTCATACTCGGAGCTTGCAATTATCACCGAATATTTGAGGCTCGATTTACCCCTTTGACAGGCTCGATCAACAATGGTTACCAAGTAAGATCCCCTGCAATTTCCCGAACCGGCGAGAACTTCTCGCAAGTGATGTTTACTTAACGTGAGAATCGAGCGTCGGGGAGAAGTTGGACAACTGTGCGGCGTTCTCCACGTTCCATTCACGGCTGTTTTGAGCGGGTCATTTCGAGCCGGACGTTATGACAGTTTCGGCACTTGTTGCACCGACATGGGGGCATTAATTTCACCGTGGTCTCGATTGGAATCGACCTGTCTCTGAGTTACTGCACATCGACACCCGCTGCCGATTTCAAAGAATCGGACAAATCAACTGGTAACGCCGTTTTCACCTGGCTACGGTTCCATATCGGTGTGGATAATTTATCAGTAGTCTGACGGAGTGTTTTATCCGGTTTATCAGACCGAGAGGGATTTGAAAATTTATTTATCCATCTCGTAAATCCATGGAAACTTTGATAAATCGAAATTACGGCAAATTCAGATCAGCTGGATCAATGTATTTCCTGTAATCTGTACAAAGGTTTGAAAATTGTGTACTTTTCGAAGGCAAAGTAATTTGGAAATTCTGCTATCGTGCAAACGCTTACAAATGATAATTCTGACAAATCGGACGATCTATAAATCTCTCAAGTATAATACAGCCCGGGGTACAATGCGATAAATATTTCAACGAAACTCGTGGACCATAGAAATGGATGCAAATCAAGCACAGAGATGGGCTCGAAATTCACAGTGACTGGTCCGCTAACTCTTCGTTTCTAGTTTTGGAATGAATCCAGGGATCTGGCGAACGATAGGCTAGCTCACGTTCTATATCTGTTCGACGTGATCAGAGCGATAATTAGGATGAATTCTCGGCTGGTATTGAAATTCGACAGTTTTTTTCCATACAGCATGACCGGCCTGCTGGAATTCTGATACCGGTTGTATCGATCCTAATCTCCTTACGAGTATGTTGCGCACTGACACGAGCAGATGATTTACGAGGGCGGTCCGTTGTGGCAGCCGAGCCGGAGATTCTATTGTACGCGAACAAACGCTTTCCAACCCGTCTGCCTGCCGCTCGATGCCCAGTCTCTTGATACCAGGTATTCAGATAGCTTGTGTTCAACACATTGATGCACGACCAATGGCGTTGCGATTACGTTCACGGATCCCGATCACCTTGCTTCATCGGGTAATGGATCAGCGATGAGGGAGGGAGAAAAGGATACTTCTCTTGGGAATTGAATCCTTGCTTTCACGATTGTACGCTCGAGACCTCCTCCTCTTCTCGAGTGCTTAATCGACCAACTTAACGAATACATTTTCCGACTGGTTCTTCGAGAAATCGCGAGCATAAATCATTTTATCTGTAAAAGATACTGTGTAGAGTATTTTAGGTATACCCGTGAATTCAGTTCGATTTACTCGATAAAGAAGTAGTTTGACAACAGTATTGGCTGACAGTAAGGTTACTCAATGGCGATCTAACGATTGAAAACGTGTATCGAGGCGATTTAAGGCCGAACGAGGCGGGATTGAGTGGAAATTAGAGAGCGGTGGCCTCGTTCCGATATGTAAGTACAAGTAGAGAGAAGAAGAAGATGCGAAGGAGGGTGGAAAAAGTGCCGACTTTATCAAACCAAGGAAACTGTCTTCTGCAACTTTGATCGAAGCAAGAAGAAGCTTTATTTAGAAACACGCTCGGTAAGCGCTGGCCGAGCGCTCTTCAGAGACTCGAAAAATGGGACAACGTTTTAAATCAATCGTCGCTGCTAGTGTGTACCGCTTGCTTTCTCCTCTCTCTCTCTTTCTCTCTCTCTTCGTTCCCCTGGTGATTTAAAATTTGTACGCCAACAGCTTTGAATAGAAAATCCCTTCCCCTTTTATCCGGTCAGCTTTCACGTCGGACGCAATCGCCACTTTTATTATTTATCACCGGTTGAATTAATTATACAGTGGGAGCGATATCGCAGCTGATCCTTGAACCTTCTCGCTCGGTGGATAAATTACGGAGCGGGGATAAATTCGTCATTGGACGAAAAATTCTACGTAGAGTTTATGGCAGAAAGTGAACCGTGTTCGACATCTCTAATTAACGAGGGTATTTTTAATTAGTCAATTTCGAAAGAATAACGAAGCTGGATTAACACGCGGACTTTTCGCTATCTGTTCGTTGAATTTTTGATCAGGATTTCCGTGACGTTACCGAGGGAAGGAAGTCGTAAAAATTGTTTCGAAGGGAATCTGCCATTGATAAGCGAGCCAGCAGCGCACCAGCTTCTTTTCTATTAGCGAGGCAAGCTTTCCGCGCTGCTCGCGATATTCCCCTCGCACGAGCCGAAGCGCGCAGAGTTTAATTAACGTTTAATTAACTAAGTAATCCTTTTAATACGAGAAGTTTCATTAAAGGGAAAAATGAAGATGGCGGAACGTTGAAGCGACAAATTTTTCCTTAGTTTATGTGCACGTATACACGTGTACATATTGTGTATATACACTGTGGTACGGAAGAAAGGTTACGCTTTTCTTTCAGGTGCAAAAGGCTTCTTCGTAAAGTTAGATGCTTTTTAGCTGGATATATTTTTTTCTCTTTATTAACCTCCTCTCCCTTTCTTCAGTTCTTTAGTAGACAACTCGTGAGCGATCGTCGATCGTGGCAACTAGGCCAATTACGAGGGCGGAATCTTGTGGCCCTCGTTACCATGAAGCCAAGCACCGGAACGTGTCTTCGGCATTCGGTTGTTCCCGTGTGAACAAGTAATTCGCTATCGGTACACGTACGTAAACTGGCCTCTTGTTCCTCGAGCGATAAATAGCCGGAACACGTGAAACCTGTTCCGTTAATTGACGTGATTGAGAGACAATCAGTCTCGTGATAAAGATTCAACATTGATCCTAGCACAAAAACTCTAAGACACCGTAAACGAGTCGCAAAATACTCGAAATACACCTATCAATATTATTACAGCAACAAGAATGACAGATATTTGGCTAGAAACTCTGTTAATTCCTATTAAATTTCGTAAAACTTTGCGCCCTTATAACTCTGAAGATAGTAAAGTTGTATTCACGTGAGGTACGCTGTTAGAAGCGATGAACCTTCCACTTTAAAACACACTTTGTTTCGTCTGGATACGTCTTCCAGTTCCGGAGATATTGTCGTGTAAAGAGGAAGGCAATTTTTAATAATTTACTGTCTCTGTCCTTCTCGCACACTCGGGCCTCTCACTCTCTCTCACACGATGACGCAACGAAGCGCGCGCCGCGTGCGCTGGTCAGTGACAGACGTCGAGTCAGCAGGTTTTTTTACTATTACTACTTGTGAGTACGCATTTCCAGGAAACAATATAGGTCACGGGGGCTCGTGGGGCCCATTCACAACCCCCGCGCGTCTTAAGCGCACTATGTATACTTTGAGTTCTTATATCTCGGCAATGGATTGAGATATCCGGATGAAACAAAATGCTGTCTCAAGGATACACTTTCCTCTATCATCTGAGTGTAATTTGATGAAAAAATTTGCGGTTTAATTTACAAGGTGTTATTGTCGATTTCGAACGAAATATAGTCACCAGTTAGGCACGTTTAATTCAATATTTCAACGTTTATCGAAATGGTAAGAAATTAACGTTAGAAACAGACGTACGATTATAGCGAAAACATTGGACGATTACTGTCATTGTAAAACCGTGTTTTATAACATTCACGAGTGCTATCAAGTATTTGAAATAAACAAGCTATCGTGTACATCCGCGATAAAGTTTTATTTAGATGGGGCGACGGAATTTTTTCAATTGAAAACTACATCGATCGAACGCATAAATTCAATTAAACTACCGTTCCCAATAATTCGTTTCCCGCCCTTTCTGCTCTACCCTGGTGGCTGGTTTAATGGAAAACGAAGAAAAACACGCGTGTTTGTACGTTATTCCTTTTTTTTTTTCTTCTGTTTTATTGTTGTACACGCGTGGAAAGGCGCCGGGGGGAGAGCGCGGGGAACGGAATTGAGAAAAGTTGCCGGCGTGTGTGTACGCTCGTAACGCGGCACCCGTGTTATTTACATCGACAATTTCACGTGTTTGCACGTGTGGCAAATTGGAAATGAGTGTGCCATGTAGTTGCACTTGTCACAGAGAGGAGCGCGAGGATTTTCATGTCGACAGAATCCTCCTCCGCCTACCACCACACCCTCTTTCTATTCGTTGAAGGCACGATAGCTTCGAAGCTCGCGGTAGTTACCGGAATTTCCACCGTCGGAGAGTCCACCCCTACAGTAATTTTCATTATGCCGTCTGTTATTACTATAGTTTCCTGCTTGGAAGCGCTGATATTGCAATTTCCCCGTGAGAAGCTACACCCTCTCCCCCCCTCCCCCTCCCCCTTTCGTTTCTCTGTTTTCAGTTGCTATATTTTCCAACCTATAGAAGCCCCGTTGTAATTAGACTTCCCCTTCAACTGCAGAGCAAGATGATGCTCGGTGGAATTGAAATGACGTCTCGCTAACGACTTTATTTTCGCTTCAAACGACACTCGAGAGAGAAATTGAAGGGAGAGACAGAGAGAGAGAGACAGAATGTATAGAAAGTAAACCTTTTCTCCTTCGTCCATCTCGTACGAAAGAAGAAGAAGAATAAATCAATTTCCATCCTGTATTTATAAAACGAACCTACAATTTCCATAAAGTCGTTGGACTTTTGTACGACCCTGTACACGCACCAAGGGTGACTCTGAGCTCTCGCGGAGATCCTCAGGAGAGAGGGGTGTGTAGAAACACGTCGAGGATCTACCAGACGATCGATCCACAACGACGTCGCGGCAATGCTACGTGTACACTCCCTTAACGGATAATTCTCTGTTTATATTACAGATAAACTCGAGATGGCCGTTGGGCCCTGAGCTGTGCGACATGTGGACAAGCAGCGATGTACTCTGCTGCACCGCCTCGATATTGCATCTGGTGGCTATCGCGGTCGACAGATATTGGGCAGTCACCGATCTCAATTATATACAGGTTAATTAACACTCGCGGTCTCAACGGGCGGCAGGTAGAAGCAAGTCGAGCAACAAGAAACGACGACTGAAACCGTTTAACGAGTGACGAACTTACGTCACGATCGCGTGGTCACGAGGCCCCGTAGGGACTGCGCGATGCTTCGCGATAAGGGGATTAGGGGACACGACGTCGTATATATTGATTGTAGAATGCAATTCGATAATCGGGGCTACGGTGTCTTGCTCCCTTTGTGCTATCCGGGGATCGTTAATGCGGAGGATGCAATTAGTAGGGTTATTGCGTGTACAAACCGGCAGAATTGTTTGTTCTTTTTTCCATTGAAAACGGAAGCTACGGGATTCCGTTGGAATAGAACGGTGTCGTGAGATAATGTACTTTATTCTAAGAAGGGAAAGTTTAGGAAGAAGTTTGAAATTCGAGTGAAATTGGATGAAGATAATTCTGTTACCGTTGATCGTGACTAAAGCTCTACCGTGTGCTGGATAATTTTCTTTGAAATTTCTATCAGACAACGAAGATTGTGTCGTCGTATCGATGACACGTCAATTGTTAATCGAATCTAAATCCCCGCTGTTGATATCCAGCTGTTGGCGCCCGTATGTTCTGGATACTTGCTGTTATGGGATACGAAACGAGAGATTATGGCCGAACCGATACTATTGTAGTTCAGGAAGCCGGAGATCTCGAACGAATCGAGTGCATATTGTGTAACTGAACGCGAACGCCGGGAATACGTCGAAATGTAATATTAAATAATGTTAATGGTGTCAGAAATGCGCTTTCGAACTTTGAACAGTGTTGGAATATGTTGGCGGAGCACACGAGACCACAGAACAATGCTGTTACGTTATTACGCGGTCTCAAAGCTCTTTCGTGCCTCGCAACTTCGCGCAACATTGTTGTAAATTTTCTTAGAATATCATCGACATTTAAACCGTGTTTTGTAGAGCCCTGAAATTAACATTGCAAACATGCGTCTACGTTTCCCGAGGCATTCTCCAACTCTCGTCTAATTTCGAACGAATTCATTTCACAACGAACGATACTTCTTTATTCTATTTACACGTTGCTCGACAGAGAGAGTTTAAAGTGGTATTATTATTTCAATGGTGAAATTCCTTCGATATTCAGCCTTCCTGACCCCGATCTGAATATATTATCCCGACGGTACCGATATAAAAATGTCTCAGGGTGGGGGTAGGAGGGAAAAAAGGAATTCGAGAAGTGTGAGGCCCGCCAATTTCTCGAGTGTGATAACCGGTGAAAGAATTTCTTTACTTCCAGGCGAGGAATCCACGGCGGATCGGTATGTTGATCGTCACCGTCTGGGTGGTGTCCTTAGGAATCTCGTTGGCGCCCCAACTTGGCTGGAAAGATCCTGATTATTTGGAACGTATAGATGAAGGAACGTGTCTGGTGTCGCAGGATCCTGCATACCAGGTGAGTGCTCCTTGATAAATCAGAATCGTCGTGAAATTATTTCGTAATTAGTTCCCCCCGTGCGTCAATTAAAATACCCGACTTGCTGATAATCCGACCGTTGAAATCGCGGTTTAATTTCCATCTAAATTGAACACGGACCTGTTTCTCTGCTCTTAGAAATGTTTATTTCAGGCAGCGTTTAAAGGTGGAATTTCTTAAAATACATTCCAGATCTTCGCCACTTGCGCCACGTTCTACCTGCCCCTGCTGGTTATTCTATTTCTGTACTGGAGGATATTTCAAGCAGCACGGAAGCGAATCAGAAAGAGACCGGGGACTATCGTGCAGCCACCCCGTGAAAGAAGAGGCATCCTTAGACTCGTCACTAGAAGGTTCCGCTTCTCCGCGACTCTGAATAGATATGCACGGTTTTACGCGAGATTCGTTACCTTGCCCTTCATTCACGATCTTCGTGAGAACGATGCTTGCCGGAGCTCCACATTAATTACGTCGCTGAATTGTTCAGCATACTTAACGGCATTCTGTAACGCATTTTCTTACACCACGTACACGCGCATTTTAATCTGGCTTTTGCGCAGAACCAGAATATACGTACACCGTTGCAATTCCTCGTAATTTCCCACGAATAAATTCAAATTAACTCCCCATCTTTCCTACTCGTACACACCGTTTAACAACCACTTCTCTCTATAATCTCTCGATAAAGAGAAACAAATTTTCCATCCTGTTAACGGCAAGCAAAATTTCATTAACCCTTTAGCTACAAGCTGCTAGATAGATCGTCCAATTTAATATCCCTAATGCACCGTTTAGTCGAATCATTTTTCTCCGGCATCACACCCACAGGCTAAACGGTTAAAACGTAACGGAACAGGGAAATTTCATAACGGGCCAGAGACAATTGCGTTAATTTCGTTGAACGCGCAGCGACAACAGGTTTCAGAAATGGAACAGAGGTACGTGCCACTTTCCTATTATACTAATATTCCTAACATTTCAGACCGAGAGAGGAGTCAACAGCGTTCACCATAACGAGATCCACGCCGGACCATTCGTCGATCTCACCGGAGAAATCGTCGTCGTACAATGGCGCGAACGCGACACAGTCGACCACCGTGACACCGTCAGCTGTGTCAACGACAACCACGACGACCACGACCACCGTGACGAATCCGTCGAGCAGCCACTCGACGTCGTCCAGCAAACGTACACGCGAGACGATCGAGTCGAAACGCGAGAGGAAGGCGGCGAAGACGCTAGCGATAATTACCGGGGCGTTCGTCGCGTGTTGGCTGCCCTTTTTCTTGGTCGCGTTACTTCGTGCCACGTGCGAAGTCTGCCAGCCACCGGAGCTGATAGCAAGCGTATTCCTGTGGCTGGGCTACTTCAACAGCACCCTGAACCCTGTGATTTACACAGTATTCTCACCAGAGTTCAGGCAAGCCTTCAAGAGGATGCTTTGCGGTGGTTCCAGAATAATTCGCTGACAGTGGATTTAAATTCGTTTGAAAGAGCATTAAAAAGAAAAGAGAAAGATGAAAGAAACACGCGATAAAGTGTATGTGTGCGTGTGAGTATGAAGATGATAGAGTGTGTGTGTGTGTGTGTGTGGAAGTTACGAGTGAATCACATTGTGTACATAAAACGGTTCTTATTATCGAAACTCCTTCCTCTCCTTTTTGGATAGCGTTCAAACTACCGTATCACGTACTTAGACATACCTTAGAGAGTCCGTAGAATTTTTCCTCGAAAGTTTCACGCGGCTATTTCTGTCTGTAATCGACAGCGATCGTTGCACTTGTTGGAAGAACGATTCCACGCGAGGAGGCGAATTTTTCAAAGAAAACAAAGGAATACAGAAAAGAGAGACGCACAGTAGTTACATGAGGAAACGTCTGTTCCTATAAGATAACGCTAAACTCTACGAGAAGTTCTGTTTCTCTCTTTGAAATAGCTCCGCAGCATTCTTCGAATACGTCGTTCTAATACGAGGAACGAAAAAAGCAAAAAAAAAAGGAAAAAAAAAGGAAAAAAAAACAAGTCTTCTATCTAACGAACGTTTAGTTCCGACTCGAACTTCTAAATGAGAGAAGAGAAGACGAGGCCGCGGCAGGGTTTCGAGTGGATCAAAGCGGAGAAATGGCCAACTGATTGGGATCTTGGAGCAAAGAATTACCGGTGACCTAGTTGACGCCTTTCGAGATAGTTTCGATCTATTATTTTCAGATTTTAATTAAACCAGCGTCTTTAACGCCCATGCTGAGACGTCTATAAATGCGTGCTCGTCTATTCTGGGTTTATTGGGCGAGAGACAGAGAAATGAAGCATATACCACTCGATTTAATCCATATTCTCCATCCACGGAGATTCTTTGCCTTCTAATTACAACATAAGTTAACTAAATTTACTGTATCACTTTTTTCTATCACGTGACAAATATTAAATACAACACGAAACTCGTAATAGAAGCGAGGAAAAGAAAATGTAACGTTTGTCATAGAATTTTGCATGATGCTGCAATTATTGCAGATTTGTCGAGGTACACTTATTTTCGTGGATAATTAAACTCAGTTACACGTTACCTATTTGTCGTATGATTTCGGCCAACGTGATAATTACCGTACATTTATCGAGATACATTTACACACTCGACGGGGATAATTATGTGCGATTATTGCTGGAACCGTTCGAAACGAAACCTTGCCGATAGAAACACGTGTATACACGCGACAATTAATCGTGTACAGTTGTATAAACGTTCGTTTCCTCCGTTGCTGCTCACGAAGAAAGCCGCTCTGCGATTGTCATTTTAAAATGGTAACGATTATAAGATAAAATAGACATTAGACCGTCGAGGGCGAAAAATAGATCGTCGGATTTTCTCTTCTTCGATATGGTTAAATCGTAGTTCCCGCCGATATGGATCCATCGTATTCTCACGAGTCACGACGATTCTATTGTAAATACTAATGGTATTTCTTATAGCGATTATCCTTTATCCTCCTTTATCCTCCGCTCTCCTCCATCTGAGTACCAGTGAAAATCGATCCGTGGAGAAATAAGCACGAAAAGCAGCGTGGTGAGCCAACCAAACGCAACCTGTAGTTCGCATCGTTGTTCTCGAGCAGCAGGTGATCAAAACTTTTGCGTTTCCCTCTCGCGTTCGATTGCTCACCACTTCGACATCAAGCTAGACGCGTTTTCCATAATGTTTCCGCGATCCACGGTCGTGTATATTTGGATCTTAAACGTGTCTCCTCTAGAGAGACATTTCTTTCCAATTCTTCTTCTTTTCTGGTCTCTTTTAAAGTTAATGCTTTTTTATTTATGATTTTCTATGTGTTTAATTTTCTGTAGAGTGAAGAACGCCTTCTTGAGAATTTTCCGTGGTTACTTAATCAATTTTTCATTGCTCTGTGATCATTTTTCCCTCTTTTCTCACCTTTTTTATTTATGATTTATCGAATTTTGAATTTTCTACACAGTGAGGAATATCAACGATGAATTTCTCGAGGATTCTTTTTCAATTCTTCATCGATCTCTCGTTAATTTAAAGAATCTCTAAGTAGACACGAGAAAAGATCCTCGACGCGTTCGCAAGTGATCAAACGATCGCACCGACGATCGTCCAACAACGCCTTACTATTGCTCTATCTATCATCGAGCGAGAATTCACGCGTGTTCAACTGGAGACAGGAATAAAGTAAAAAAGAAATAAGATAAAATAAAATTAAAAAAACGTATACTAAAAGTGGCAGAGTAGTGGTACACAAGTTTGTCCAGCGAGATTTACCTAGTTTAAGGCTGCGCCCCTTTTTCGATGATGCAATACTAAAAATGAAAAGAAAACGAAGGAATATGGTTGTCACGTTCGCGTGTTGCGTATGAAGAAAGACGAACGATGCGTTACCTGAAACAGGAAAGAAAAAAGTGTAAAACGAACGGGAGAGAGAGAGAGAGAGAGAGAAACCAGTACGTTTACAACGATGCTTCGTATGTATATTATTTCTTTGCAATCACTGATGTAAATAAATGTAACAGTTTGAAAAGAGTCGGCTGAAACGCTCGGCCGACTTCAACTTCATATTCTCTGGTTTGTTTCCCATCAGTTGCCTATTCTTCTTTCTTTCTGCGCTTCTCTTTTACCGTCACCGTAGAGACACACAGTGAATTTTTTCCACTCGGACGTACGCTCGGTTCTTGCTCGTCGATGTGAGAATTTTCACGTTTCCGAGGAACGAATTCGAAACGAATTTGTTGTTCGTCGAAAAGCTGTTACGGTCAATTCTACGAATAAATTCCACGTCGAATACGAGCGCTGATAAACAGTAATTATCGAAATGATATCAACGATGGTGTATAATGTAACGAACGTTGCACAGTAATTGGACAGTATGTCTTTATTATTTTACACGAGAGTGCGGCGAGTGGCGCGACACAAACACCCCGGTGAAATATTGCAGCCCCGATATACATGCAGAAATGTTCGAGTCACTGGTCAGGAAATACCGATACTGCTGTATTATTCCTAATCAGCATTTCGTGATATTCACAATCGACCCTACACGTTCATTTCCTCGAAATAAGACTTCGTGCATCGAGAATTACGTTATTTTCCATAGGGCAAAGAATCGTATAAATAAGTGAAACAAATTTTCCGCAGTATAATTCTGGAAAGATACGATAAAACGAAGATTTATTTACAAGCTGAAATTAATATCTCTCGCGAGCCAATGGCCAGGAAACGTCCAAACACGCGATTAACAGCGATATCGTGTAACGCCTCCGTGATATAAATTCATTATCAATTATTTACTTCTCGAAACTTGGGATTCGATAATTAGTATCGTGTCGAGTGTCGACGTGGAACTTTGGTCGAAGAAAATGCTGCTCGCAATTTCTCAGTACGTGTGCGTTCTATTTATTTCTAAATTCTCTCCTTCTTCTCCTATGCGAATTTATACAGCGACGATTAAACGAAACGTTGGTTCAATTGATCGTGCAGATCTTTCCTTCTGATTCTGGTCCATGCAACGGCGATCACCGTGGAAAAAGAAGAAAGTACAGTTTGTTCAACGGACGAGTGCAAAGAATTCGGTAAGACGTGGTCGAAAGTTGGAGAAAAGGAGGTTCGGCGTAAGAAAAGAAAACGCTTCGGTTTTACGATACCGTATGAAACAGCAAGGACGATACTGAGGAACATGAACCACTCCGTGGATCCTTGCGTGGACTTCTATGAATATGCATGCGGCAATTGGTCGGGAACTGGTCTACTTTCATCTGGAGAGAGTTCGTGGAATATGCGAAAAGTCTCCAATAGCGAGAACAAACGAAAAGTCGAGAGTAAGTTTCGTCCACCGTTTATTCCTGAACTTTCATCCGGTGTATCGTAACGATTTCGCAGAGATGTTGAAGCTAGAGCCAGGAAACGATGAAATTCCATCGGTGAGAATAGCGAAAGAATGGTACAAGGCTTGCATGGACACAGGTATCCTATCAAATTTAACCCTTTACAGACATCTTCGAGACATCACAGACACAATCTTCCAGGCTATTTGGCAGTTCTATTCGTTAAATCGATCTAACAGTATTTTATCTAATAATACACGTTTATTTCTCAAGGTTTCTTCCAATATTTTTACAATATTTTACAAAATATCAGGGATCTTTATTTTGTCGTCAATTGAGACACTCCAAGTACTCAGAATAGAATTTCGATTTTTATTCTCAGTCAGAGGGAGAAATGATAGAATGCTCGGAGAGAGTGAGTGAATATCTGATTAGTTGGATTGTTTGAAACTGGTAGATGGTATGAATAAACGAGGCATGGTGCCATTAGTGTCGATATTGAATGAAATCGGTGGATGGCCGATAACAATGGCGCTGAACAAGTGGAACGAGAGTGGACAGAAATGGCAGAACATCGACGATTATTACGCTCATTTAAGGGGATCCAATTTGTTGCACGACGTCCGTGTAGCGGCGTACGGTGGAAATTCGAGCGAGCTGACCATTGTGGTGAGCAATCGATTTTCACGGTGCATGGTGACGATTCTGAAAGAGCTCCGCGATCGTTTTAGTTGGACGTACCAGACATGCCTGCGTACACGTGGATGCTGCATCAACGTTTCGATTCGGACAACCAAACTGTTCGCGACGAGAACGAGTTAGGAGGGTTCGAAAAATATCCCAGGTATATCTCGTATATCGTGTCGAGAATAATCGGGGCTGACGGATTAGACGTACCGAAGGAACAATTGGAAAAGGATATCGACGATATACTCGACTTCCAATGGAAATTGTCCAAGGTTTCGTAAATGAAGAAAAAAACAAAATCTTAGTTTAAATTTGATTTCTGATTCAAATTTTTGGCTTACAGATCACTAGTTTAGTGGACGATTACGTGAGCATGACAGTAAAGAACTTCCAAGAGTGGTACAATGATTTAAAACCGAGTACAGAAAAGTCTGTGGTAAAAGATTGATATTTCAGTCGATCTGAATGAAATTTTCACAAATTTCTATCCGAACTGAAGCTTGAAAATTTGCGTACAGCTAGATTGTTAAATACGTTTTTACAGCTCGTTTGGACCAAGAAAATAGCCAGCGTTTTCAAGCAATTGGACATCGATATTCCCGAGGACACGGCAATAAAAATAACTTCTCCAGGTTATTTCGAGAGGTTAGTACCACTTCTGGACGAAACTCCAAGCAGAACAATAGGTGAGAATGTAATTGTACACTGTTTCGAAGCATCTCGTTCAGTAGTCCACTTGCTATTCTTCGCGTAGCGAACTATCTTCACTGGAACTTCGTCTCGAGTACAATCGCGAGGACGACCAACGAGATGAGGGAACTGTCCGAGTGGATTAAAGGCGAGGAGAAGCAACAAGCCAGGTTCGCTTAACAAATTAGGCAGAGTAGGTTGCCGCGACGTTAACGCGAATTCAATTACCAGTGTTACCGATAATTGTCCCTCTTTTTGAGTCTGACTCGGGATAGGGGAGTGCTCGGAAGATAGACTATTAACGCGCAACAGTTTGCTGTCAAAACTATGTATTTGTGGATCGTCTGGTGTCGTGTGGTGTTCGCTATTTTATAATTCGCTAGTTCGCTATTGCGATTGGTGGTGTGAAAACAGTCGTAGGTGGTGGAAGTGTGTAGTGTGTTTGGGGTGTGAAAGTGGGGAATTTGTTCTTACATTTGTTATATTGCTTGTTGGAGGTCTGTTTATGATCTTAGATGTGAGAGGCGTCGAGTTTTTGGGTGTGGTAAAGTATTTTTCGTGCCGGCTAAGACCTCGCTTTTTCGGGACATGCCGGTCTATCGGGGATACTCGTCGGTACGGCCAAACAACCCAACGAATCGGGAAATGGGCTTTCTCGTGGAAAATTAAAAGCGTCCACGGCCGACGTGATTGTCCAGAAAGTGGTAAACATTCGTGGGATATCTCCACGGTTGAGTCTGACATGATTATGAAAGGTAGAAGGACGTGGCGCGAGTAGAATACGGATACGGTCCAATTTAGATTAATTAGATTTAATTTCAATTAGTCGTATGGATTACCTCGCGATTATTTTCGAATTGTTCCCAGGTCAGAATTATGCTTGACGGAGCCGAGAATGGACGACGTCATCGCGTACGAATATTCCAGGAGATATTTCTCCAACGACACCGTGGAATTGGTAAATCTATCTTATTTAGGATTGTGTGAAATTTCAATCGATTCATTTTTTTCTCCAATTTTCCTGAGCTGCAGGCTTCGGACGCTTTAAACGATATGGAGAGGGAGATGGAAATTGAGATCGAAGGATCGAATTGGGCGAATCGGGAGATTAAGAATTTAGCTTTGAGGAGGATTAGGTTAATTAAGAGAAATATCGCTTACCCTGATTGGTATAACAATAAGACTATCATGGAGAATTATTTCGGAGAGGTGTGCGAGGTTTTCTTTTATATTTTAGAAGGGTTTCAGATTGATGGGGATTTTAGGGTTTGATGATTATAGCTTACAATGGGATCGACGTACTTTGAAAATGCTCTGGAGCTTGAGAAGTACTATAAATTGAGGGAACTGCGACGTTTGAAGCACGAAGATGAAGTAGAATCGTAAATAATTGCGTATTGATCAATTGAAATTATCGTGGCTGAAAATTAAATGCACACTTTCATGTTCTTCTTGAATTCAGGTGGATTGTGGGTCCTTTGACAATTAATTCTTTCTACTTCAGCGAATCTAACTCGATAAGTAAGTGTTCTTCATTTTTCTCACTTAACCGTGTATTAGTTAGACTGGAGTATTTTAATTAACGCATTCACACAGCTGTGCCTCTGGCCAATCTGCAGGAACCATTTTTCACCAGAGCACAACCGAAGTACGTACGAAAATTCCGAATGAAGTTGTCGTTGTATCGTTGAATTTCTCATTTCAACACTTTCCTTTTAACAGTACGATCAATTATGCGGTGACAGGATATACGTTAGCCCATGAAATGTATCATCCATTCGACGAAGAAAGTTAGTACCTACTCCTTTTCGAGAGAAATATGTTGTATTCTCTGTTCCCCTTGAAAATGTCTTTTCAGGACGACTTTACAATGAATACGGCAAGAAGATAAGTTGGCCAGAAGAAATGACGGAGGAGTACTATAAAAGTGCACGGTGCTTCGTTGAGCAGTACAATAATTATACTCTGGATGGAACACCGAACGGTCCAAGAATCGAGGTCACAGACCTTTAACCCTTTCTAGTCGAATACTTCTAGAAAGAAGTTAGCCTTGCCACTGACAATTATTTTACAGAATTATGGCAATCAGACTTTCGACGAAAACATGCCAGACACCATGGGATTGATTGCTGCATTTAGAGCGTATAAACGAAGGGAGAGTATAAAAGGAAAGGCAGAATTATCATTGCCTGGCTTGGAGACGTTCACAAACAACCAAATTTTCTTTCTGTCTTTCACCAACGTAAGTATATCGATAGTAATCAACTCTGTGCACGAAATGAGCTTGGTATTTTTAAGGTATGGTGCACAAGTAGAGATCATGGACCGTCACTCGCAGAAGCCAAATTAAACACGCACAGTACAGCACGGTTGAGGTCCATTGGTTCCCTTTCGAATAATCAAGATTTTGCAAACACATTTTCCTGTCCATTGGGCAGCCCTATGAATCCAGAGAAGAAATGCAATATTTGGAAAATGGAGGATTCCCTGGTTAGCACAGGCCAATGAGAACAGATATTACCCAATGCATTTAAATTTATACCGCTTTAAACAGCCTGCCGATAGTTTAACCATGTTCGGACATGGTTTATTTCATTTTCTAACGGTGTCTTCTTTTCAAATATGAAAATAAGAAACCTTCAGCTCAACTTCGTTCCCGTACGTATAATAAATTCCCGAAGTATAATCTTATCAGGTTAGTTGACTCTTTAAATGGAAATTCTTTGAATTTTTCTCCTTTAATAATAGTTATTGTAAATTGGAGCATAATTGCGTATAGCAAGCAGTTTCAAATGCTTACTTCTAATCAAATTTTTCATTGCTTCAACGTTACTAAATAACGTAGACAGTAAAAGAAAGTTTCTACTTTATTTTCAAGAACTTTAAATACAGTAAAATTAGTGTTTCTTGTTAAATAACATTTTAAATGGTAGTTTATTAATGTTGGAAGTATTAAATTAATAAGTTATTCGAGGATAACGCTGGAGAAACGAGTTAGACAATGAAACGAAAAACGGTAGATAAGGATACGGCTAAAGCAATGAGTTAGACAAGGAAAGGAATAGGTGCAGACAAGGATAGCAATAGTGCCGTGTGTTAGACAAGGAGAGCAACAGGATTAGACAAGGACAGAAGAAAAAGGCCTGCGAGAGTAACGCCATCTAGCGTTGGGTGACGCGAACTACCATTTTTTAATAGGAACACATCATATAAACAGAGGTATTAGACAAGGAAAGCACTAGTGTGCGAGAAGGACAAATAGAGAACGCTTCCCATTGGCTGGCGGGCCGCCATGCTCCACCTCCCGGGGCCCCAGCCACGTGGTCCGGTGAAAAATCATTAATAACTCGATAATTAGGACGATTTTGTGAACTTTTAGTATCGAAGAATGAAGCGTGAACCTTCAGCAACTTTCACGTATAAGTTTCAAGGCTCCAGGACCTTTCGATAATTAGTTATTAATATTAATATCGGGACCGATACGGCAGTCGCTTACGCATCATCAAGCCGGTCGACGAAAAATCATTAATAACTCGATAATTAGGACGATTTCGTGATCTTTTAATATTGAAGAATGAAGCGTGAACCTTCAGAAACTTTCACGTATAATTTTTAAGGCTCTGAGACCTTTCGATAATTAGTTATTAATATTAATATCGGGACCGATACTGCGATCGTTTACGCCACACCAAGTCGGACAGAGGAAAATCATTAATAACTCGATAATTACGACGATTTCGTGAACTTTTAATATTGAAGAATGAAGCGTGAACCTTCAGAAACTTTCACGTATAATTTTTAAGGCCGTAGAACCTTTCGATAAATAGTTATTAATATTAATATCGGGACCGATACTGCGATCGTTTACGCCACACCAAGTCGGACAGAGGAAAATCATTAATAACTCGATAATTACGATGATTTTGTAAACTTTTGGAATTGAAGAATGAATTGTGGACCTTCAGCAACTTTCACTTCTAAGTTTTAAATCTCTAGATCCTTTCGATAATTATTTATTAATAATTTAGTACGGGACGTCGGGAACGATACCGCATACCATCGATCGTCTTTACAGTTTTTCAATAATTTCACAGCTTTCTCTTAAATTCTCATACAACTAACTATATGCGTTTGAAAGTCAACTTCTTTAGCTACGTTTCCATATAAGTTTTGTTAAAATATTCCGTTTAGTTTACTAGTTACTAAATATTATATGAGAGTGTTCCCTATACATCGTACTCGAGTATAGTCAACTGTTATAAACAATTGCTAATATCTAATAAACCACACTTCATACGACTACAAAAATTATTGGAGAATGTAAATAAAAGTCCATTATACATTCCTCGTGTTTAAAAGTGCATAGTTTGTCACGCGTATCTATTGAAATAACGAAAATATGTTAAGCTTGAATGCGACAGGTGCAGAAAGGACCTACGGTCTTAAAAATTATATGTGAAAGTTTCTGAAGGTCCACGCTTCATTTTTCAATACTAAAAGTTCACAAAATGATCCTAATTTATGAGTTATTAACGATTTTTCAACAATCGGCTTGATTTACGGCCTGAGAGGTGGAGCTTACCGGCTCCCCCCCCCCAGGAAGCGTTCTCTCTCTGTCCTTGTCGCACACTAGTGCTTTCCTTGTCTAATACCTCTGTTTACATGATGTGTTCCTATTAAGAAATGGTAGTTCGCGTCACCTAACGCTAGATGGAGCTACTCTCGCCCGCCGTTTTCTTCTGTCCTTGTCTAACGCACGGCATTACTGCTATCCTTGGCTACACCTATTCATATCCTTTTCTCTCTTCGCGTATCAATATTTAATTGATACTTATGATAAATTTTTGATTGCTATAACATTACTAATAATATAAATAGTAAAATACAGTTTCTGATTTATTTTCAAGCCTCCTTTAATTACAAAATAATTATCGTTACTTGTTGAATAACAATTCAGATGGTAGTTCATAATTCTTCGAAGTATTAAATAAATTTGTGGATTGATTTAACTTAATAAAATAGCTTAATTTGTTAATTTCGTGTTGAATGAATGAATTATTAAATTAATTACTGCATATAATTCTTAAACTCACCGTTCTATTATCACGGTGGATTTAACAGAACATCAAATCCATTACACGATCGGTAATACAGAACGTGATACACAAAATCCCAAAAGATAACAGATCTATTCTGTACCTCGTCTGTGGTACATATAAAAACTCGAATTTCTACGAATCTCCTTTTTAACGAACACGTCAGGTAAAACGACGAGAGCTGGAACGTTTCATTTGCTGGTCACTTTCCGACAGAACCGGGATGATATCCAAGGTTCCGCTTTCCTCGACGCTCGGTTTCCTGAAGAAAAGCTCTCTCAGCAATGTTCCCTCCGTGGATGCCTCTTCCAGGTCAATTTTACTCTTAACTCGTGCATTTGGCGATCGACAGAAGATGGATTCCGTGTCGAATTCCTCTGGAACACTGTCGATACATTCGTTTCGGCGAAAATTCAATCAGAAGATTCTCTATTTTAAATAAAAATATTTACACAGAGAAAGAGTTTTTTTTAAAGGAATAGCACTTTAACTGAATCAATGTTGTTCTTCGTCTTTCAAAAGACGAAGAGTTATTTCAGCTTTCATTCTTTACTAGAAGAAAGTTCGTTCTACTATATTTTTCGACTGGTTGATAACGTTTCCTTACGCGGTTACTTCCGGTTCCACGGTTTGACAAGCTCGATCAACGTTTGTAACATCTCTGTAACGATGCAATCTCTCAGTTTGGAGTAGATCCTTCGTCCTTTCGAATTCTCCCTGCAAGAAGTCCGTTTCCGTTTGCTTCTCGACCAGTGCGTTCTGCAACCTGGACTTCTCCTTTACCAAATCTCGCACAGTTTCCGTGAGTTCGAGAAATTGCTTCTCCTGCGTGGCTATCTGTCGCGTCAGCAGCTCCAGTACTTGGGAAATTCGAGATTTCAGCTCTTGCGTTTCCGACCGAGACTGAGTTAGCTGATAGAAAAATGTGGGACTGAATTATTTTCGTTTGATGGATATGAGCAATGACTAAGTTATGCGCAGAATCTATCGGTTCCCATCAGTACACTATCACTTTCTATTTGAATTTCTCATATTACTCTGAGGATGAACTTTTCAAATTTCAATTCTACGCCACTATCTTTACTAATTTTTCCAGTGGCCAATGGCTAAGCTGTGCGGAATCTAAAGGTTCCCATAAGAACACTATTATTTTCTATTTGAATTTGTCATATTGCTCCAAGGATGAACTTTTCAAATTTCAATTCTACGTCGCTATCTCCTCTAATTTTTCATTCTATGCAGAATCCTCTATCATTTTGAAATCCCTAATTTTTTCATCTTACTAATTTTTCTTCTCTAATTTTTCAAACGACCAGTATCTGATCTCTGCAGGATCTCTCGATTCCCACGAGAACACTCCATCGTTTCTACTTCATTTTCTCACATCGCTAACAAATTCTTTCAATTTCAAATCTTCTCGTCTCATTCTCAAGAAATCTCGTTCGCCAATAAGACAATACCTAATTGATTCCTCGAGCAACGTTTCAAGCTCCAAAAATACCGAACAGAATGACCAGTATCCCTGACCCGAGATTCCCCATCGATTTCTCGAGTAATTGCCAACAGAAATCCAACCATATCGCAATTAATTAACAAAGTAACGCGTTGAACACGGTCAGAGTTCAGAGATGGAGCGAAACCTATGTGGAAGCTGGTTGTGCTGTTGGCCTGATTCGAACTCCACTTCAAAGTACGGTCCTACGGCTGATGAATACAGCCAGTTGACGTTTTAGTATCTCAGGTTTTCGAAGAGGTGCTCCTTTGCCAAAGTTTTCCCACGTGCTACCACATCAACGCTATACGTCCTCGGAACTTTGATAAAGTTGTATAGAGGGAGGAAGTGGTGATTTTCATTCCAACTTGCTCGGCCAACAGCAAATCACTCCTGGAACCCTAATCCATACCTGGTCCCTACTTTTACGAGCCGACCGTATGCCAGACACCTTATCACCGTGTATTACAACCATAGCTATTCTTTCCCTCCTTTCGACACCCTTATCTTGCTATTCTGCTCTTTCTTTATGCGGAGTGCTTTAGAACGTTGCGAGAGCACTCCAAGGGTTCCGTATGACAACGGTGTGAGTCTCAAATTTTCAGAAATTTAGATATCAAAATGACAGCGTGGAGAAAAATTATGATTATTTTACAGCGGAAAATTTCCTTTCGGTGCTTGAAACGCTGTGAGAGCACTCGAAGAGTCCCATATCACAGCGTTGTAAGTCCGAAATTTTCAGAAATTTAGCTGAAGAAATGATAATTATAACTTTAAAAATAATTTCACAGCGATAAATTTCCGTTTAGTGCTTGAAACGCCGTGAGAGCAGTCAAAGAGTGTCGCATCGCAACGTTGTAAATCTGAAATTTCCCGAAATTTCTTTTCAAAAGCTTATCGCTACTTTAAAAATGATTTCGTACTAGTAAATTCCCTTTTCGGCATTTGAAACGTCGTGGTTCTACGACTCTCCTTCCTATACGTTCATTGTTTAAAGAACGAATTTCTGAAATGATTAATCACCGGAAATCCTTTGAATGAAACGCTACAATGCGTACCGGGCGCGTGCGTGTACAACGTGAAATTACGAGGAACCGGAGAAGGACAAAAATATACAGTAATAACAGCGTTACTTGGAATTCTAATTGTTTCCTCTCGGTTTCCCGACGGTCCAGCGAATTCTGGTACTGGTTTCTCATGGCTTCCTTCTCCGACTCGCTCACCGCAAGCTCAGACTTAGCGTCCCGCATTTCCTTCGTGCATCTGCGTTGAAAAACGACTTTCTATCGGCTGGCACAGGCAGAAACGCGTGCAGAAAATTGAAATACCGCGGGAGAACGACTTCCTTTCCATTTCACATTTGTCCGATACTTCTTCAACTGATTTTCCCCCTCTCCCCCCTTTCCCCCTCGCAGCGTTAAGATAAGCTGTCGCGATGAACAAGAGGCACTTGTTCACGGTGTTAATTACGAAATTCCCAATTGACGTTTTACTTGGACGATTGTGCGAGCAAAACGACGCAATTATGTCGCTATTATCTTAATTGAGATCGAGCGTCTGAGCCGATATACAGTTCGTTAAAGAATAATCTCGGCTAATCCTTGGCGTAGGGATGCCGAACTGAATCATTCTCCGGGGACATTCCAGTTTGCAAGTGTGGAATTACACAGTGAAACTTGTAATAGCGAAGTTGTCCCGTGAAATATAAGCTGCGTACGGGTAGTTTTAACGAGAGGTGATTTAAGTTTATTGTAAGTGACGGGGAGTCTGTTACCTTTGGATTTCGTGGTAGGGGAAGGAATAAACGTGACAGAGAAACTGAAGAATATATTTAGCATTCGATCTTTCGTATTATAAATATTTCATGCAATTTCAAATTATTCTAGGTTTTACATTTTTGAAATTTTAAAGATAGGAAAAGCAATACTATCCAAATAAATTTCGTTTGAGTGTAAGAGGGTGACGATGGAATAAATGGAAATGATAACTCTCTTGGAAAGAAGATAACAGGGAAACTGAAGAATGTATTTAAAATTCAATGTCATGGAATTTAAAATTTTTCTAGGTTCTACATTTTTTCAATTTCAAAGATACGAAGAGTAGCACTATTGAAGTAAACTTTGTTTGAATGTTCAAGAGGATGACAATGGAAACGATAGCGCCCTTAGAAAGAAGGTGACAGAGAAACTAAAGAATCTATTTAAAGTTAAATTATTTTACAGCATAAATATTTCACGCAATTCTATATTTTCTATATATTTTTCATTTTAAATCCACGAAGAGTAAAATAAACGTGGCAACGCGAACGCAAGAGGGTGATAATAGAATGAATGAAAGCTATAGAGCTCTTAGAAAGGAAACGACACAAAATCCCAAATTCTTGGCACACCTTCAACTTGGAGCCCCCAGGAAGCAAAATAAACATGGCGATTCGAGCTGAAAAAGGGCGATAACAGAACGAACGAAAACGATATTAATTACAATCGCACGTTGATACAAAGTTGTCGGTGGAAAGAAATTTACTTAATCAACTGCTTAACCAGCTGGGCAATCCTTCTCCTGTCCGCGGGACAGAGATCTTGAATGTGAGGGAACGAGGCGGTGTTCCCCTGCGCATCTGCGGTCTCTCCTCTGCATTTCCAACAGAATTCCTCGTCAGCCTTCACCTCTTCGCTCTCTGTCGAGATCGTTTGTCTGCTCGAAGATTAAACAGTTACAACATTTCCCTTTATTAACGGAAACGAATACACCGCGCACGCTGCCCGCAATCTCTGAAAAGAGATTTCCCAAGACGTTAACTCGAATATTCCGCACTGATTCGCGATACAACAACGCCTTCAACACGAACAACGTGCGCCTGATGCATACCAATCTTCCAACAGGATTCTTTGTATCGGGGATCGTCGTCGGGGGTTTATCGTTAATTATTTTATTTAATGTACTACAGCTCGTGAATATCGACTGTATTGAAAAGGAATCCATTCAGCCTGTGGGAAGCGGGGAAAAGGGCATCGTTTCCATATGTATGTAGCATAATTAATTTCATTCGTTATTCCTATTAAATTCGATACGTATGCTAATGAGTACGTATCACTGACACCTGAAATTTCTCTGCTGATGATAAACAACAGCTAATAAATCTGCCAAAAAAAAAAATCAATCTTCTTTCAATTTCTCGCATAGTCGAACAAAGAACAGACGATACACTTTCCATGGATAAAACGTACAAAGCGAAATGACCGTTTCATGTAAAACGGCTGTATCGATTCCGCGAGGCTCTACAGCAGACAGAGATTTTCGTCGCGTTAAGCTGACCAAATTTCACGTTCACGCGAGCTGATCTCTCGACGGTAAAGTGGCGGAACCGAGTGAACGTGAATCAATGGGACAATCCAACGTTTCATCCTCTGGCCAACAATGACCCGATCAAACAGCGTATCGTAACATTATATATCGAACTTTAACCTAGTTACTCCGTGCAACAGAAGGGTAAAATTAGTTCAATTCGAGCAACGGACCTTCCTCGTGCTGCTGCATACGACCGTGTTCTTCATATATTCTCAGCGTACGTTCACGAAGCCTTGCCAATCTGAACGATAAAACAACCCCGATCAATCCGTCGAATCGTCGTCTCACGTCGCAAACACCGTGTGAAGTTTCACGCGAGTAGAACGCACACAGAGACGTGCGAAAGAGAAAGAAGAACAATGAAATGTAAAGTGACAACGTGTCTACCTCTTGCTCCATTTAATGTAGGAATTCATAAGTCTGCCGTCGTCGTAGTCGTTTGAATACATGTCTGGCAGACGTCATTTTCTCCGGGATCTCAAGGCGATCGTGCAACCGGTGATTATGCAGGAGGTCGCAAGTCGCGGAGACTTTGGAGCTCGATTCTCTCGCGGCGAGGAGAACGAACGTCGACGAATCTCTAGGTGGAACGCGATTCGTCGTTGTCCAGAAAGATAGAGAGAGAGGTGAAGTTGGACTTATATCGGTTTTTAAAGGTCACTTCGCCCAGGGACGTCGATAGCGGAGGATCTCCAGGACCCATTGGAAACTGCTGATAAAATATTAAATTGTCGACGAGACGAAAGGGAGAAAATAAGAGACGTCGCGTAAGACTCTAAATCGAATTAGCAGACTCTCTATTCTCTCTCTATTCTTTATTCAGTATTATCGAGGAACGTGAAACGAGGAGAGAGAAAAAATAAGAGAGAAGAAGAAGGACGAAGATAACGACGATGGAGAACGTGTGAGAGAAAAGCATCGAGGCTAGAACGTCCGAGTTTTATTCAGAAAATCGGTGCTCTTTAAACTATACATCCGTCGTTTGTCTCTTTTCTGCTCGCACGACCAAGTCCACGCAATTCACAGATTGCCTCGTCTGTTCGTCGTTAGTATCGACGATGCTTTCTGGCATTCTACAGTGGAGACAATGAGATTTGTACGAGAAAATGAACGTGAAGGAATGCATTCGACACGAACGACCAGTTTACATATTTTCTCGCGACACTTGAGAATCTCTGGTCTTTCGTTTTATTATACAGGAAGGAGGAGACACGCTGTTGAGAAAGCATCGAATCGTTCAGTCCTTCGATTTCAACGAGCACTCGTGACTGATCGGTTGTTCCGTTGTCGAATCTCGATGACTTGCCAGTGTTTTCTCGACACTGTTCGGACAAGCTGTTAGACTAATGGTCGTGTCTTGTTCCTTGATCGGTAGACTGGTCCTTGTTTCGCTACCCAAGATGGACATGTGCAAACGTTGTCCTCGACGCGAGTCACACCTCCTGGAGCTGATCAACGAGCAACTTTGCCCTCTGCCGCGGGAACTGAGGTCTGATGAGCGACGATGTCGCCTACGGATCCGCTTCGGCGTGCAACAAAGTAGATACCTGCGGCGAAGTTCGGCACACTTTAACGACCATACTCTATTAGTTGTCTGTGATAGCGTTGGAGAACGTTAAAGTTAATAAGAAATGGTTAGACGAGAAGTGGAACATTAGCAGGTTTCAGTTTGCTCGTTAGGCGATCGTGCCTGTGATAGGGATTCATGGGAGGGGATATGAGATTCACGAGAGAGAAATTTACTGGAGAAAATTAGAGATACCTGGCGGGATAGAATAACACTTAGACTGGTGTCGTTAATGAAGCATTGTCCTTTAGGATTATGTGTAATATTCTTACTTTGCTTCTCCCGTTACTTCCATTATTTTGTGTCAGATACATTAGACTATTAGCAGCGATATTTTTATGAGATTCAAGTGAGAAGTTTACCGTATAAAATTAGATTCTAGGTGGGATAGAATAACACTTAGGCTGCATCACTAATGAAGCTTTATCCTTTAGGCTTATTACACTTTGGCTTATTATCAACGATACTTTTAGCATCAGTCAAACATGAAGTGTTAAAAAAAAGTGTATAATTGAGCGTTTCAAATCGCTAAAATACTATTCCCACTGACGATCGTACAGGGAAATAAATATTCATGGTTCACGCCGATTCGTTAGGACTTTGCACGAGCAGAACCGCGATCAGTTTCGAAAGAGAAGCGTAAAACGTGCTGCAAATTAATTGTGGTCGCGGGGAGTCACGAATCGACGTCGATTACTCCGGAATCGATGAATTTTTATCCGATCGGTTCGACGGATTTATGGAAATAGGTCGATGCTGGGCCAAAAGTTCCACGCCAGGTGTCAAATTGCCGCCAAGTTTTTATCGGATATTCGATATACTTCAATTCCAATAACCGAAAGATCATTTAACGTCAGATATGAATATTCGTTACCTCTGAAAATTGCTCTTTTCTCAATTGAACAGATTCGATACTCTCTACAGGCAACAACGCGTGGATTCGAGCAATGAAAAACTCAGCGGTATCTCTTTTACAGCGTATAGGACCGTGTTACTTTTGCTTCAGCTCGATTCACCTGTCGAAGTACTTCCTGAACGACCCGCTCACGCAGTACAGCGCGATGGGATTGATACAACTGTTGGTGAACGCCAGACAGAAGCTGAGGATCCGAAAGTAGTGCCAGAAAGCGTTGTAATCCTGCTGCGCTGTTGGGTGGATGTAGAACCACAGCATGAAGACGTGTTGAGGGAAGAAACACATCGCGAACACGATCACGAACGCCATCACCATTTTCGCCACCTTTTTCCGAGTCTTCACCTGCCTCACCTGCGTTCAATCGTTGGCAAAATCACCATTACCGAACCGATTTCTCTTCAGTACTTGCGTACATTTAGCACGGTAACGTTTCCCGGGAAATTTTTTCTTAGAAGAATAAAGCATATTAAAAATAATTTGAACAGAGTGTATCATACTTTAACATATTTTCTTTGAAACAAACCTGTTAAAACTTGGAACAAGTACCTACTCTCTTTTGTGTGATAACAAGTTTGCCGCGAATACACTTCTACCTTCCTCTAAAAAAAAAAACAAAAAAAATCGAAGAATCGCCAAGATCACTAGGATATTCCTCGTGAAACTTCTCGTCTACCGGTACGCGTATCAACTACAAACTTGGCGAAAAACGAGGAATCAATGAGCCCAACTTCTCCCCACTGTTCTCAGCTGAGTTTAATAGGATTACACACGGCCTGTTATAGCCGTGGAAAAGTACGCGGAGAGAAGCTGCTCTCGTTTCGAATCTCAATTGAGAAACTTTCCATTTACCTGACACTGCATCTCTCCAGGTATGTTTCTCGTGCTACGCATCAAATGTCTCGCCATCAGTATGTAGAAGATCGCTATGATGCTCAACGGGATAGCGTAGTATATGAAGAAACGACACAACAGTATCGTTTTCGGATAATTCGGTCCGAATTCCTCCGGATACGGGTAGCAGGCCTTTGAAACACACACATACACACACACACCAACGGACATTGCGGATCTTTCTATCGTGGAATCAATTAAACGCGCGTAATTTAGCTGGACGATAAAAATGGGATAATGGTGACCGGTGTTGCCAAGGGAAACAAAGGGAAGGGAATGGGCATCGAGAGAAGAGAGTAGAAGAAGGAAGAAAGGAGGTACGTTATATCGGTCGTTTGGTCGATCGATCGTAAAAGTTACGACGATAAAAATAATTGTCTTATGGAATTTTCTGGCTTGAACTCACGTGAAATGTCACGTTCCTGTTCACCCTGAACACCCTGATGTAGGAGTAGGAAGCTGGAATCGAGCACATAATGGCTAATAGCCAAATCAACGCGACTACGATCACCGTGAAACGAGTCGCCCGTCTGCCTGTACCTTGAACAATAAACGTAAAGTAAAGAAAACAAAAGAACACGGTAATATTCCGAGGGATCCCTTTCTACCGAGAAAAATGCTTCTGGCTCGTAACAATTCGTTAACTGTAATTACCCCCCACACCCGTTACCTTAGATAAATTAAATCGGGTTAGAGTCGAAGCTTGAATAAAAGCTCGGAGCTTCTACCTAACTTCTAGAGGGGTTTTACGTCTTTACGTGCTTTTTTGCCCCCGGACGGGGAGAGGTTTAAGGGCGGGAAAATGGGAAATCGAAGCTCGTACCCGTAGCGTGGAGCTTTCTCATTGGATCCACGATGGCGAAGAATCTATCCGCCGAGAGTGCTGTTAGAGTGAAGACAGAGACCCCGATGGAGATATCCTTGGCGCACTCGGACACCTTGCAGAGCACCAGACCGAACGGCCAAGAGTCCAGTATGTAGACTGTGAAGGTGAACGGCACGCAAATCACGATTACCTGCGGTTCAACGTTAAACGAACATTTTAGGAAATAAACACCTTCGTTAACTGGGATTCTAAAGCAAAGTAATTCATTCTCTCTCAAAGGTTAATTAATTTTTCTAATACAAAATTCTCGATCAATGCTCTGCTCTGTAATACTTAAAAGTTCTCTGTTGCATCTGTTTAAAAAAAAATTGCACCCGTTCGTCGGAAAGAAGGAAATCGAGGAGAAGGTAAGAATCTGAATGGCTTAATGAGAATTGGCTGAGCGTAATGCAGAGCGAGTGTAAGAAGTAACGAGCGTGTTGGGAACGGTTTAGGGTCGGAATTCTTGAGTAGATCTGTCTCCCAGACTAAGCCGGAGGAATACTTGAAGAGACAAAGAGAAAGTTCCCTATCGTTCTGCGCGAAGAGTGCCGGGAAACTGAAAGGGACAGGGGAAATTCTTGCTTCACTGGTAGAATAAGAATGAACACGTGCCAGGAGGTCTCCAAGCGCCAGTGAAAAGACATAAATATTGGGGACGTTCCTCATGTTACTGTGCCGCAGTATAGTCAACGCTAGCACCCCGTTTCCGGTGAGACCGATCAACATGATCAGCAGAAACACAATTGGCACGATGTACGTCTCCGGTCGTTCTCCGTATGGAGTGTATTCCTCTTCCTCGTTGTTGTTCTCCTTTACCATCGTTTCATCTATCACGCTGTACACACTCTCTATGCTCGTGTAGTGCGTGGTTGACGTGATACCGGAAGTCACTTTGAAAATTGTCGAGGTTGACGGTGTGGTCCATGAAACTAAAGATAGCGGCGAGACGGTTATACAAGTTTTCAACATGTTTCTTCTATTTCGTTGAGCGTAGCTGCGGTATATATGTATATGGTCCCTTTGTTCCAAGAAGAAAGATCGTTGCGTTTCACATCTTGATCGCGTACTCCGCTGGCCAGCGGCCGCAGGGCGGTGGTTCGCCGAGCTTCCAACGAATCCCACTGGCCTGGCTCTGCTGGAAATTGGAAACGGAGCCGTGTTAGCGAAAGTTCCCCGACAAATGGAGCAGAATAGCGCGGTAAATGGGGAAATGATTCGCGGGAGCGTGTAGCCAGAAAGGAATCCACGGAGTTGGCAGGAAATTGTACGTGAGCGACGTGGAATTTTTGCGAATAAGCAGATGCAGGGAAGTTCGTAGAATTCGTTAAGAAGTTGCTGCTACAGTTCTGGTACATGAAAAGGTGGGTGAATATTGTCGACGATAAAGATAAAGATCGATCGATATTTCGTGGATGAAAAAAGAATTCACGAGAATTATCGATCTTCCTGAGAAAGATTTCCCGAAGGAGTAGACCCACAGACTCGTTATTGAATCTCTCTCGAAGATGTCGCCGCATAGAACCGCGACTTGGTTTTTCCAACGATAAAGAAGAGAAATTTTTTATACGTACGGAAGTATCTACGGGGAAATTGAGATATCGTTCGGCTCGATGTTTAACAAGCGACTTGAAACGACGATTCTTTGGAAGCTGAAATCCGATTCTAATGAGAGAGTTCCACCCGCTTACGCCTTCCTTCTGTATCGTGTAAAAGCGTCGTCGATAAATCTGCGAGTGTGGGTGTGTTTCCGTCCCGCGACAAGGTTACACGCCGCTAACCTACGTGACCTCGTTAACCAACCTCGAGCATTTTCGTGTCGCGTTCCTTTTTTCAATCGTGCGCCTCCGCACAGCAGCTTCACAACCCGTGCACGACTCGCTCAGACGCTTGTAATTATACCGCGAGACCGCCGATGTTTCGAGCACATGCGCCTAAGCGTCTCCTCGTTGCTCTGGGCATCCCTAACGCAAACGCGGTGGCTTTTCCACTCAAGAGAACGTTTAACCCTCTCGGAACTACCTTTGAAGACAATAACGAGCTCGCGCATTATATTTTTGCAGCATTACGTTCTCTAGAGGAAAAGAAACAACACCGAACTATCAACCGAGTGCACTTCGCGCTCGGAGGAATTCTGCTGTTGATTATTTCCAGGGTTTCGAGGGAATATTCTCGAGGCGAAGCAGGTTCATTTTGACGAGTAATCACAGGGGGATATTACGTGTTACGTCCGAAATAACGCTAAACGTTTGCCAAGACCAGGTTCACGAAGGGATCAACGGGTATTAAATTAAGGTTAAGTGAAACGGCGAGTCACGAAGCTGCTTAGTCGGGGATCGAAGGTGAGAATCTCCTTACGAGACACGTAAATAGATACTCCGAGTATTTATCCGTAAACTGTAGGTTTTTCCAAGTGAAAGATGCTTTTAATCGAACGGTAAAATGGCCACGATAAATCCAGGAGTCTTGTCTCCGTACGAGTGTCACAGAGAAAGGAGTACACAGCTGAGCTACATCCTCCCACTCTCCTCCTGGGGCAGAACTAGCTCCTTTGTGAGCTGCATAATAGTAAAAGCATACTGCAGCGTTGCCCTGTCGCACGGTCCACGAAAGACAATGCAAGCTCGTGTTTACGGAACACGTAGGAATCGTAGAGAAGTAGTTTCAGCGAATTTCTACTGTCGAACGTTTCGTGAAAACTTGCCTTTTCCTCTCTAACAGCTAGACACGGAGTAGCAATTGATATGACATTTCTCGTGAAACTTTGTTTTACGATTCAACGTTATTACCTCGCAGACGTAACGATTAAATTTGCCCTGTGAAAGAGGAAAGACGGTATGCTCTTGAAATGTTAATCAGATTGGCGAGCGAAGCAGGCATGAATAGCGGAACCTTTAAATCATGCCTGAACCAGGAACGTTCCGTGAAATTCGTCTGTCGGATCGGTAAACCGACGTCTGGACACTCTAATCATCTAACAATTTCACGCTGTGATTCACTCAAGCGCCGCAATCTTTCAAGGTTGACGCTTAATTTTCCTTCAAGAAGCTGACACTTTCATCCACGCGGAAATCTGTTGGATAAATACTCGTTCGAATCGCTTATTGTGTCCGGGGAAAGTCAAGCTTGTCTCCTTTGCTTACCAATTTCATTCGTCAAAAAAGATGCATTTGCACTCGATTTCCAAGTGAAAGTAACGCGAACGAGATGTTGCAGTATGTAATACAACCTGATTCCAAGGAGTTGGCGTAAATTTACATAGGCTAATTGAAGGAATTTTGGAACGGTGTAAAAGTAGCTCGTGAAACGTCTGACTATATAGATATTGTTACTACTTAAACTGAAATATCGTTTAATTTCTTGTTATCGCGAAGTTACGAGCTCCCGAATCCGCTAAATCCGACCGAAATCTGTTTCGTGTTAGATTCCACGGCAAATGGATCCCAGAAACATTTTTACCAACCGCGCTTTACGACCTCCACCAGCCAGGAAGAGAAAATAGTTTAATAAAGCCCCAGGGTCGCGGACTATAAACTTTTTTATACGGCAATTTCAATCACGAACCTTTGCTGTGCCGATTGGATACCACGTTACAGCGGTATTTATTCCGAATGACGCGGCGTTACGATGCTCAAACCCGTGCACGCGAGAAGACAGAGCTCGCAACTCGTAAATCCAGGCCCAAGACATTTTGGACCATTAAATGAGGCTAACTGCGATAGCGGCCGGGATAGGATTAAACAGGATATACAGGCGGGGACTGGCCAACGAAAGCTTGTGTACACCTACCGTGTGTTCGCGTTTTTCCTGGATTAATGTGGAACGAAGCACAGAGCTATTCGGACTTCTCATAATTTCGGACTACATTATGTCCCGTCAGAATATGTATAGCTGCTTTATCAAGCAGGATTGCGGAAAGTGTTTACAATCACTTTTAATGGAGCTTCCCATTAAGACACGGGATCATTTGCATAATGAATAATTATCGCTTTACTTTCTAAATTGCATTCTTTACTCCTCGTAACCGAAGCACTGGAAAATTCAAGAATTTAAGAATCTACAGAGACGAAGTTTAATTCTGTTATAAAAAATTTTTTAGGACACAGTATAAGAGGATAGCAGTGAAATAAAATTTTTTCCCAGTTCGAGACGAACGTTTCATACAGTTTATACAGCATAAACGTGTACAGCAAGTAGTAGTCTCGAAGCATAGCGCGACATAGGTTGCATACAGGACACTGGCAAACTCGTAACTTAAAAATTTTACAAAGTGTCACATTTCGACGAAGCATCCTTACAGATACCCAGGGAGCCGGAAATGATTATGGGACTTGGAGATTTTACGAACTGGTACGTATCGACTTCATTCAAGCATGCTGGTCTATAGATATCGTATACATGTTACAGCAGACACGTTCTGCGTAAGAAAACAGAAAGATGAAACCTTAGAGGTGGTAGTTTATGCGAAGAAACACAGCTCGAATCGAGTTGCCATTGTTTCAAACGCAAAAAAATTTCGTACAGAAATTCTAACAACCCCGACAATTATACGATATAAAATAATTAACCTGACAAAGTCGCTTTTTGTTGGTACGCCTATGGAAAGGTTTACTCAGCTAGGTATACACACTATCGAAGCGTCATTAGCGTCATTAAGCTCCGAGTATCGATTTGCACGACGATCGATCACGCGGAGCGGTTCCCGCGGGCATAAAAGTTCCGTTTAATCGACAAACTTGCGTCGTTTCGTCCCGAGAGAAAAGCCATTCGAGCGAATTTTTGTTCTCTACCAAATTTTTTGCTACTCTCTTTAATTTTCGTAGAAATTCGTCGGCGTTCGACGTCGGATTTTCGGGAAAACTCGGATAGTGCTCTTCGCAACGATTCATTCTCGATAATTACTTCGATCGTTGCGTTTTAGAAGGGAAGAAGAATGAAAAACTCGTTTACTCGTCCAAGAGCAATTTGCATTCTTGCAGATTAGCGAATCGGTATCTGCGCATTTTCGAGCGATGTTTCGCGAGGCCATTCTGCCGGGATTAATTGCCGAGGAAATTTTTCAACGCTTCGTTTCTAAAGGTATTTCGATGATTAATTGCTCACACATCTTTTGTAGCAGGAGCCTCTGTAAAATTCCCGGTATCGTGGTATGAAAACCGGCGTTGATAAAACGCTCTGGAAATCAATTAATTACCAACGCCTGGTTGAAAATGCTGATAGCGTTAGGCGAATTGTTACAGCTGGTTGCGCGGATTTCTATGGCAAAGCCGGATGAAACGATAAACCGCGATTTCTTTTTGTTTCGCACCGCATTGACACACTCGACACGAAACGTTCTGGAACAACGATAGATTATTGTTGTTCTCGGCGAAGGATTTCTTCTCTGACATTTTCGCGGTCCGTTATACGAGAAAGAAATTTCCACAGAGTTTCGTTGAAAAGTTTTCCAAGCATGTTTGAAAGATGAGACAGCTAGTGAGATATGTCGATCGTTTTTATGGACGTTATGTGGACGTTATGATGGACGTTATGAGATGATGATTCGTCTCTCGAGGAATTGTAAAAACGTTTTTCCAAATTCTCCCGGTTTCGTCAACGGTCGAAAAAAGTATCGCGGTCTCGCGTGGGGACCACTAATTGGGACACCGGGAAAATAATCAAACGTCAGGCACATGGCCTGCGCTTTGAGCAACGTTGCTCGCCGTTAGTATCATTTGCACTCGGTGAATTCGTAAATAATTGCCCGTTGCAGCTGGGCTATTTACCCGGGGACTGCAAATCGACGCGTAAAAACCGTGGAAAAATACTGAAGGAAAGGTAACGCGAATATCCGAAATTGTATAAAATATCAATTAAACGGTAACCTTTCGATTACACACTTTGCACAGGTGCAAGGATTCGAAATGATTAATTAATCACGGGAACAGAGATCGATAATTAAAGACTTAATATTTGACTCAGGATTTGAAGATAAACGTTAGATCGGTTCAAATGTAAGAGCTTCACACTGCAGATTTAAATGGAGAGAAGAAAAGAGGAGAGAGGATTTCAGGTGGGATTAGATTAAAGTAACGAACGAAAGTATATTTGAAGTAGGAGAGAAATTTTGTAGCACAGCGTAATGGAATAGATAAATCA